GGGGTTGAAGAGTCGGGCTGAGCCAGCGCTGAGGGATCTGGGGGAGTTGGGAAGGGTCAGGGGGTGGGTCATGGTTGGGCTGGAGGAGCTTCAGGGGCTTTTCCACCCCACATGATTGTGATTCTTCCCTTTATCTTACTGATAGCCATTTATTTTACTGACTGTAGGCCCATCAGCAGCTCCTGAAGGCAGCCAGGTGCCTCCAGGACTTTCTGGTAAAAGAAAGGCAGGCTCCTTTCACCGTGTTCATTTTATTACAAAAGCCTCAGTACCTCAACACACCTCAACCCTTAACAGAGCAACCGGAAAGAACAAAAACATAGCAAGAAACTGCTCACCAAAATACAATGGGGCTTCCTAGAGAACAAGCATCAACAGGGACCTCCCGTGCCCCAGGTAGCGAAGCAGCAACAGTAACGCCTCTCACAGAAGGTCTGTTTGCCCCCAGAGCTCCTTCCCAGCGACGTTTCAGTGAGGCAGGCCCTGCTCGGAGGAACGGGGCCCTGAGGTTTAAGATGTTGGAGGAGGCAAAGAGCTGTTTGGCTGAGCAGAGGCTGGAAGGCAGCACAGATGTCAGAAACGCTGCAGAGCTGCGCCCCCCAAACAAGCTCCTCTGCGTGTTCACACATTTGTATCACCGAGGCACTGGGTCTGCAGAGGAGCGAGGTGTCTCCAAATATGCAGACAAGGGAGTCTGGGATTTTCAGAGTTTTTTGGGGTTTTTTTTTTTTTACTTGTTTCTTTTTTAAAATGTAGAAGGCAACACCTCACTGCCATGGAAGTGATCGATCCCCTCTTGCCAACAGGGCTGGGGTGCAGCCCAGGTGGTGCTTTGCTGATCCCAACACACCTGCTGTTCTGGGTGCTGGGATGTTCTTTCCTGAGCTCTGGGGTGCTGGTGGCATTTGACTTTGCTCAGTTCTTTTTGGTCTTGGGGGTGTCGTACTTCCTCTTGCTCGAGTACCACAGCAGCAGCGGGATCCCGATGGAGGGCAGGGTCATCACACCAAAAGCTGCCCAGTCCAGCTAGAAAGAGAAATAGTTAAAAAAAAAAAAAAAAGTCAAAACAAATCATACAAATGAGTCTTGCAGCCATCAGATCTCTTCTCAAAGCTTCTGGCTCAAATCCCACAGTGCCAGCTCCTTCAGAGAGACTTTTTATGTGATAAGTTTCTGGACAACCGGTAGGGATTAATTGCAATCCATGTTGTTTTCCAGGTGACTGCAGCGCAAACAAAACACACCACAAACCGGCAAAAAGCCACCGTGCTGGGTTGCAGAGCTGCTGCGATGCAATTTCAATTAAAGGTACTTACAAAGTGAGGGGAGAACCTCCTGTCAAACTCACGCTGAGCCAAGATTCCTCCCTGCCCAGGAGCACTAGTGAAACCAACCTAAAAAAGTAAAGGGAAAGAGATTATATTTGCCACCTTTCCACACATCCTGCCCTAACAAGCAGCTTGAAGAGTCAACTCACCACAACCTGTCCACCCTCCTGTGCCAGGTACGTGATGGTAGCAGAGGTGAAGTTGAAGTAACCAGCTTTGAGAGGCCTCAGAACCACAGTGTGGGACACGTTACTCGCTCTGAGAGCTGTGAGTTAAGGAAAATAGTTGCATTTCATCAAAGGAAGAAAAGTGAGGAGATAAGTAAAGGTGGATGAGTCAGTCCTGCTGATAGATCCGAGTCCTCTGCGCTTACAGACATCCAGACCCATCCAAGGCTGCTCCAGCTGCTCCTCCCTCCCAGGCAGATGAATTGCACCAGGATCTGGCCCTGTTTGCAAGGAACTTCTTTTTTTTAATTTTAACAGCATCTTCAAGGAGACCAGAGATTTGCATTCAACACACTGCTCAGGGTCTGGCACGCTGGAATTTCAGTGACAACGAAGGCAGACGGGAGAGCTACAGGATGCTCAGGGGGAAGGAGGAGTGATGGGAGAAATGTCACAACATGAAAAGATACGGAGCAATCCTGTCCCACTTGACGTTGAGCATCCCAGAGACAATGCCAAAATCTTCCGGGGGGAAAGAATCATCCGACAGCTCCACATCTAAAGCAGCACTAAATGCAACAAAGAAAGGAGTGAGAAGAGAGTCTTAGACTTGGTATTCTACTCACAGGGGACTGCACCAAAGAGATACGACAGTTCCACACTGACAGTTCAGCAGCTGGAAGAACTGACTTTTTGAACCATTAAAAAATCACCAGTAGAAGATGGGGAGCAGAGTCAAGGTGTATTACAGGGAGACTGCAGAAAGAGGAAGGCAAAACTGAGAGAAACTACAAAAAATATAGGAAACCAGATGTGAAAAATAGCTCACAAAGCCAGGCTGCATGCATGGGGAGCAGAGTGTCACAAAGCACAAAAGTAACTAAACCAAGCTGGACCAACAACCAGAGCAGCCACGAGGTGAAAGCAGGAAACAGCAAAAGCAGGGACACCAGAACAGGAAGAAAAAGGCAAATTGCAGGGTCAAACCTTCAAATGCTGTTGGTAAGCTCAGAGTTAAGGAGAGCAAAAATAACAGCACGTCATGGAGCCTAAAATAGCCTCAAGCCCTGCAGACACACAGACATAACGTTTGCTCCAGGTCAGTACTAGAAGCCTGGACAAGGTTTACCTGGAGCCAACATTGTAGATGTTGTACTGCAAAGTCAAGTCCTTGCCCTCCACTGCGTATCTGTTTAATAAAGATTTGGAGGCCAGGAGCCTGGCGCCTTCCTCACAGTGGGCCACATAAAACAGGGCAAACACAGCTAGAGCGAGGAGCTTCATCTAGACGCAAAAGAAAATGTAAGGTCATTGGTAATTTAACTACAAAAAGAACATGAACAGGACAACTAAACATTCACGTGTAGCAAGACATGACCAACTGTCAACTGCACAGCGACATTGATAAAGGATTATCACAAACTGGCAGAAAATTACCCTCCACACAAGTCTGCGACTGCCCCCGAAATACTTGTACACTTTCTGCAAGGAGGTAAGAAGCGACACAGCGGGGTCCCAGACCAGCAGGCATGGAAGAAATGACAAAGGTTTTCTCCCTTTTGAAAGCCCCAGCCAGTACCACTCCCCTTTATCACATCACATCACATCACAGTGATTGGAAAAGGTCTCAGATCACAAAAGCTCTTCTAGTAATTGCCAGAGCTTTTGCTCTTAAAGTTTCACTAGTTTTAGCAATTAACAGTTAATTGCCATTGCAGAGCACCGCAGCACTGTCTTACACAACTTCTCCCCATCAAATTCTCTATTCTCAGAGAATACCAGCTCCGCATTTTCAACATGTGTGCTTTCCTATTTCCAGCCACTTTCCTATTTCCAGCCACCAACTCCCTCCAGCGGCCTTTTGGTGCCCACAAGTCCCTGCTTCAGGCCACGTCTCCATTTCCCCAAGCCCAGAGGACGAGAAGACCACACGGTCACTGCATGTACAACCCACTAGGAAACCTGAGAGTCTTTTCAACCCCAAAACTGCTCACGCGTCAGAGCCGCCCCTCCTGATACCAGCGGACCCTTTCCCTCCCCTCAGGCCTCCCCTGACACAGCCTTCACAGCAGCATTTCCACCCGCGGTTCCCCCCACGCAGCCCAGAGACGCAAAGATAAGCTCTGAGATCCTGTTCCACGCAGCAGAACCCCCGGTTTTACCGACTGCTGCCCGCGGGAGACCCGGACACCGACACCGCAGAGCAGCCCCTGCCGGGCCCCTCACATCCCCTCAGAGTCCACGGCGAGGCCACTGCCAGAAACCGGGGACACGCCACCCCCCGGCGCCCAGTCCCTCCCACGGAGCCCCACGACTGCCCGCGGGCCCCTCACCGTGGGTGCCCCGCGGAAGGCCGAGTCAGCGCAGAGACCGCGGAAGTACCGCGAACCGGAAATAGCGCCTCCGCGAGGGCCCCGCGGCACGATGGGAAATGTAGTCTAGGTCCGCTCATGGGGGGGGCACTCCGCGCATGCGCAAAGCGCCTTTGGCTGCTGCCCGACCGCCTGCGGGGGGAGGCGGCTTGAACCGCGTCCTGGGAACCTGCGAGCAGAAGCACGGAATCATCCGGGTTGGAAAAGCCCCTAAAGCTCCTCCAGCCCAACCATGACCCTCCCCCTGACCCTTCCCAACTCCCCCAGATCCCTCAGCGCTGGCTCAGCCCGACTCTTCAACCCC